CAGGATTCTAGGTTACTGAAAAAAAAAATTAAATGAAAGGGAAAGTGTCACACATACAAAAAACTGGAGAGGCTAAAAATCAGTTCAGATGCAACAGGATAAAAAAGATCAGGAACTTTAAATATTCATGAACCTACACAATCATACAATAATTATTTCCTGTATATCAACTGTGGATTAAAATGCAAAAGAAAAAAAAAATAAAGACCACAAAAGCAAAAAGAGAAGAAACACAGCTGCCAAGCTCTATTTTGGCCCTTCAGTGAGGGCAGTTTTTTTATTTTAGACAGGAAAAGGTTTGCTTGCATGAGAAAATGGAACTGCCTGATGGGAGCTAGTTTTAGTGGAAAAGTGAGATAACAGAAGAAAAAAATGCCTGTAGAGACCTCTGTGCATCCGAGGCATCCGGAACTGCAAATGCTTTCAGACTGTGATCTTTTATCACTGAAACCTTGTGTGATCGGTCAGTCTCCAAGCAGCCTGTTCTTGCTAGTTTGAGTTTGAAAAATGAAACAAGTGGCTGCACGGTTGTATTTGACAAAACTTGTACAGAAGCTTGGCAGGTTTGCACAGATTTCAGCAATTCCTAATTAGAAAAGTGGAAGAAACTTATTTCCCATGACACAGCAAACCACTATCATTGAAGTCAGTACAATTTAATTTCCCTGGGTCTTCGAGGTCTCCTGGACTTTCAAAGGGAACCACCCTGAACCACTGCTGTCTCTTTTTTCTCTTGGAATTGTGTTTGGGATCATCTTCTCTAAGCTACACCCAACAAAAGTCATTGAGGCAATAATATATTCTAATTTCTACATTGAGATAGTGTAGTTACGAATACGTACTAGTAGTAATACAATACACAGAGAGCTATCTTCATTTTGACCACTGCTTCTTAACGCAAAGAAGGTTGTATTCATTTCTGCCAGCTCTTAGAAAACTTTCTGCAGCCATGTTCCATCATCAACTGTCCTCAGCCAGAAAATGTAATGTACTGTGCAGTTAACCCCAGCAAAATTTGTTATCTGCCACATTAAACACAGGCACAAACCCATCAGAACTCAACGTTTTTTACAAACTAAGCTGAAATAAAATTATAGACTCAATTTGACGATGTCTCAGCTTCTAATCTCTGAGATCTGAGTCTCTGAGACCTCCAGACTCTGGCCTTTGTCTAATCCAGCAGTACTTCTGACCACTACAAATACCAGCACATCTTAAGAATGTCAGCAAAGATGTCCTAGTAAATATTTTCCTCTGTTTTTTTCTCCTTGATGAATAGCGAAATCTACTTTAATGCACCAATTTTCATTAACAGGCTTTACAAATACTAGCAGGATTTACAAAAGCAGCACAGAGATCATCAATAAAGCTCATACAGGTGTATTTCTGTGTCCATGAAGAAGCAGCTGTTTGTTGAATTTAGGATAATGAAATTTTCCTTGACATACAGACTGTGAACAACACCGTATCGGCATGCCCAATGTGTATCAACAGTTCTTGTTACGTTTCGTAGCTTCAAGGCTTAACAGACCACTTCTCCGCATTTCCCTGAGCAATATTTGAGCCACAGATGTTGGAAAGAAAACAGACGGCAAATACACTGGAGAGTTCAACAAATCCCCAGCTTCCAGTGTAGACTTTGTCTGTGTCCACTAAATCAGTATTCAAACAGTGAACAAAGTAAATAGCAGGCGGAGTTTGTCCAAAAATAGCTCTAAATGTTTTCAGTGTAAGAGATATTAATGATAGGTACCTCATCCCCTCCTTGGTTTACACAGCTCTACAAGGAGATTCAAGTCCTTAACAATTTTCTCACTAAGAGGAAAACTTTTTTGTAAGCTGGGTGACCTTCCCTACTAAGCAACAGGAGCTGCTTTGCTAATACGATTGCGTCTAGGGGGGCATGGTTTGAAGGTTAGAGGCAAGTTCAAAGCCCATAACAATTTATACCTGAGAAGATTTAACTGTACAGCAGCTGAATTTGTAGTGAATAGGCTCCTCCTGTATTTATTCTTATCCCACATATTTTGAGGATAGGAATTCACAGGGTCTAACTTACACGTTGGTGTGTCAAAGTCTGATTTCATTATCATTCTTATTCCAGCCAAGTTTGACCTGAACCATGGATGATGTCTAATCTTACCAGAACCAGGTTTTACGTCTGCTTATTGTTTTGCTTTCTGAAGTTGACCTTGTTTGTTAACTGGTTCAATATGTAATTGCTACACTCCTTGAAAGCCTTCTCAACCACATTATTCAAAGTTCTTTAAGATCTGAAGTTGGGGCTTTCAGTAGGCTTTATTTGTTTTTTACTATTATAAAGAAGTACAGAATATTACTTTTCTGTGACAAGTATCAGGTCTATTTTATGAGCAGAGGAAACAACACAGCATTTTATTGATTACTCGGAGATAGAATATAGAGCTAATAGAGATCTGTAATTTTTTACTGGTAAGCACTAAAAGACTATTCCTGAACAAAAATGTTTATTTAGTCCTAATCACAGCATTCAAGTTAATTGCCAAAAGATTATTTGAGGGCAAGGAAGTTTTCCAAATATAATAAATTATTTCAGAAAATCATCTGGGGATAAATTCAGGGATGGAAGAAAGCTGGACTTCGTGAGGTTTGATATGCATATGTACTTACAAATATTTTAATGTGTGATTATATTTCCTGTGTAACTTGGAAGTTTACTTGTGCTTTTAACCTGTAAAGTTTTGGGTTAGTGCACCCTTTGTAAGCAAACATTACCATCTCTAGAGCAATGATGTTCTAACCAGAGAGCCCAGTTTTGATCTTTATGTTTAGCTCCTCCTGATCCGTTTTAACTTCATCTGGCAGATGCATAACAAACACTCAGTTCCTGCAAGCCAGTTTATCCCTTTCTTTTTCAAGGAATACATTTTTCATCCCTTGTCTGCACTTTGTAAAATATTTTAGTCCATCATGATTCTTCTGAAGGTATTGCAAATGATAAAATAGAGCCAGACAATGAGTCCTATTCATTCATGCTGCGTCTCTGATAAGAGACTAGAGGTTAAGAATTTTCCATGGTAACTAGAATGGCTTAAAGGTCCTCTGACAATAACATGATGGATTCCAATTTTAGTCATTCAGGAATAAATCTATTACTTTAAGCAAAGTTACTCCAAAGGTACCCATTCTTCAACTTCCTACACCAGGTGAGAAGGCCAGTGTGCTACTGAGAGGCCGTAATAGCCCTGACTCCAGGAAAAAAAATAGCCTTCTGGCTTGGAGATAAGGTAAAAATACCCGTTTCCAAGAAACACCTGGCAGACAATTTCCAGTGTCTGCAGCTGTGGCAGGGAGGGGTCTCAAGAAAGGAGAGGTTTGCTGGGGATGAAGACTTGTGGTCTTTGGTAAATATATCTATTTGGGGGAAATTTGTGTAGTTTATACAAATGTTCACTGTTGTTTTGATCACCTTCAAATGCTTGAAGTTAGTTGCATGATTAAATTCATGTGAAGCATCATACGTTTTTTCATTTGCTGGATTGAGCTGTTGTGAGAACATAGGGTAATTATTCATAGCAAAAATATTTGTGGTCCTTCCTGCTGTCTGACAGTTGAGTGTGCTTATGCAGGGTCATAATTGATTTTTTTTAAATGTACAAAATGTCTACACTTTTAGACAAGAATTGCAACTTAAAGAAAAAACATTCAGCTACACTACAGTGTCAAGTGCAATCACGGATTTCTTGACGTGTCAGTCATGACATTATCCAAAACCTCTCTGGATGGAGTTAACTTTGCATGAGTTAGTGCAAAAAGGGAAAATAAGTGGGACTGAAAAAATTAGTATTTTTGAAAAGAGGGAAATGTGGACACAACATATCTGCTACAAAATGGCATTCTATTCTTTTTGGCATGGTAAACCTAATTAAGTAGTTACATTTTAAAATCTTTATGAGAATCTTATTTATTAATGTCATCAGGCTGAAAAAAATGTAGGTTAGATGTGGGGAGAGTTTGGCTCTGCAAAGACATTACTTAAAAGCAATTTTTTTTTGCATGACTGAGCACATGTGCACACAGGCGAGATAGTCACACTTTACAATGAGGTTACTTTTAACAAATTATTTATAAAGGGTTGGTAAACACTGTAGGCTATTACAGAACCCGCAAAGTCCGTCATTTTGTTATAGCAATGTGTAACACCCTCAAGTATATGTGCAACCAAGGATAATTTATGAAAGTCATATCCGTAGTATTGTTTATGATGTATATTAATCATTTATTAATCCTTTATGAACTATTTATAAACGCAATCTTAATGGAAAGCATGGCCGACTAGTTACTCCATTGCACTAGCTGCATGGGAGTTACAGGTTGCAGGCCTCTGCCCCTCTTTTTTAACAAGGTAAGCAGTCTTTAGACCGGGCAGCAATCACTAGCTGGTTCCTTACAGACTCCTAGGAAGTTAGAAATCTGACAGAGGCATCACAAAGAGGTTTTGCTTGTAAGCAAATGTACAGAATTCTTTTTTTTACATCATCTCCGCTATTTCAGTAGAGCTACCACAGGTCTGCTTCACAGGGTCCATGAGACAAAACTCCTGGCAGGTGACCCACACATATTAAAGTCTATGAAGTCTTGGTTCCTGAGGACTCATGTATAGTTTGGTACACCAGACTGCCAAAATACGGGCTGTAGTTCTAGGAACTGAGCAAAGGCGGGTTGCTGTGTAAATGCGCACGTCCATCAGTTCTTTACGGTTTCTGCAGGAAAATGGGCAATGTAACAGAAATTACTGCTACCATAATGTCTAGGAACAGATCCTGGCTTGCAGGACTATTCTTCTCCTCCAAGGCAATTCTGCCTGCCAAGGTACAGCTGCTTGTGCTTGCTGCAGAAGAGCTCCTCTAACTTTGATGTGACAGCGCTGTTTTAACCCTGCCCTTTGCTTCTTTATGCATGCATTTGATACCAGAGTACCATCCCAGCGCATTAATTCTTCGCTTGTTCTTTTGCAGGAAACAGATCTCATTCTGACCTTTAATATCTCAATGCATCGTTCTTGGTGGATGGAGAATGGACCGGGCTGCACCGTGACCTCAGTAACCCCAGCCCCAGACTGGGCACCAGAGGATCATCGTTATATCACTGTCTCGGGTTGTTTTCTTGAATATCAGTACATAGAAGTGGCTCACAGTTCTCTTCAGATCTTCCTAGCAGTAAGTGTTTACAGATTGCTTCACTTCCACCACCTTTTCTAGATTTCTTCTTGCAGAACATCATTACTAGAGTAGCGGAGTATTGTGGCATCCTTTCACAAACCCTGGCTCTAAGTGTTAGTTTTGTTATGAAACTCTGTTGTCTTGCAGCTAGTTCAAGACACCTGTACATGAAAAGCTCCAACATACACGTTTAATGCTGTGAGAACTGATGACATGACACACTCTGTTTTCCTGACCTCCATTTTGACCATTGATCATGCCATAAGTAATTTATAGCAGGTTACATTCAAATTACGCTGTAGGATGCAAGTTGTGAGATAATAAGAAGTTACAGCTATTGCTATGAAAGCCAAATTGACTTTAAAAGAAAAGCCAAAATGAAGGAGAAATTTTCAACAGTAAAAATAGATTCACTGATCAGTTCACAGGACAAAACTGATCAATTTGTCTTTAACCGTATTAATCAATATGAACTGGAGGAGACTGGGAAAGGTTCTTCTCGAAAGAACAAGATGTTATACTTGTATGAAAATCAAAACCAGAAGCCTTAAACCTTTTTAGGAGGATAACAATCCACCATTAAACTGCAGAAAATTTATAAGGAATGAAAACAGCTTGTTTTGGGGAAAAATGACAGATTTTTCAACCATATTCATCTGTACTAATCATTTAGCCTTGTGTTGTCTCTGACCTAGGTGAAAAGATGGCATAAACACTAAATTATTTACATTGAATGACAATCTGCATTTTTGCATTTGTTCTAGTCATACGTACGTGTTTATGCCCAGCTGGAGATATGTATGTCTGCGAATAAAACTGTTACTATGCGCATCAATTTAGACCAATGCCTGGGCATATGACCCCCTCTATATAAATTATTTGTTCAAGAGATTCCAATGTTTTGTCCAAAGAGGGACCATACTGGCAAAATAGAGAGGAGGTTAACTAGATCCAGAAGTTACTGTAAGGCGGTTGGACAGCCCGTAATGTATAATGTGGCACTCAGCTACCCAAAAAGTGAGCAGTTTTTCCATCTGTCTATTCCCCAGCCTAGCTGTAAATGGCCAAGTACCAGGTGAGTTCAGGACAGTATATCTCTGTGCCAATACATCTCTGTAGGAGCTCTGCATGTGTAGAAGGTTGGTTGCTGATTCACCTGAAAGCCCAGCTACCTCCCTTCAGTGGAGCCATCCCAGGTCTCCTCCGTGCCCCTCAGCTTGCCATGTTCTGGCAGAGCAAAGGGACCCTGACCAAGTAGGTAGCAAGGCAGGCACTAGGTAGGTCTGGAAGACAAAAACAGCCCTTTCTCCAGATAGTTCAGACCTGCAATTTTGGCAAGCTACAGCTGGGACAAAAGAGACAATGAGAAAAAGGCAACAAAATCAGTGTGAACAAGTAAATAAGATTAAAATCGCTTTACAATTTTATTTCCAAGCAATTGTTATCATTCAAGGATAACTCATAGAATCATGGAATCATTTAGGCTGGAAAACACCCTTAAGATCGAGTGCAACCATAAACATAGCACTGCCAAGTCCA